ATCCGGTCTCTGTGCTAGTCTCTCTCTCCAGATGTACTGTTCATTCTCTGATAGACGTCTGATTACAAGAGCTCGCCAAGCCGATTTTGTTGGGAACGAACCGCTATCAGTATATCCCTTTATATAGTTATCCAAATGGTAATGTTTAGCAGTATGTAGAAGGATGTTGCATAAGCTTACTGGACGGCTAATATTGACAAAAGCGTTGGTAGCAATGTGAGCACAAAATAGGTCTTTTGTTATTGAGTTACAATCGTTATTGCAGAGCCTTCCTAATAATTGTAGTCTACATTTATCAATGTAGCCATTCATTGACCACATTCCCAAGTTAGAAATCGACGAATCGGTTGGATGTCTTTTACCAAATCCTTGTATATGACGAGCAAAGTAACGTTGTGTACATTCAATCATTTCAAGTTCGTTACCGTAAAAGGCTGGTAACAATTCACATCCATAAAAGCTTGTAGATAAAATCATTCTTTTCCATACATGGACACATGCAACTGGGTGGAGGTCTGAGTCGTTGAGGCCGAGTGATCGTAGTGAATTAACACTTTTTCTTGCTTTTGAGCAACATGTCATGATTCTTTTTTTACAGGATAAATTACTGTTTATGATTATTCCGCCATATTTGACGGAGTCGGAAGTGTCAATTATTGCATCGCCAAATTTGTAGGTTACTTTATTATGACGCTGGCGTGTTTTGCAGAATACAAGCGATTTACTCTTGGAGGCATGTTAGGTGAGTCTCCATTTTGTTGGCATATAAACGAACTGAATCAAGGGAAGACTGTAAGCCCCGTGGGGTTGTAGACAAGAGCGTTGTGTCATCGGCCAATAACACACAGGGTATATAGATGCCATAAACAGAGAGGCCATCGTTTGCTTTCCTTAGTTCACATATAAGGTCATTTATGAAAACGAGAAAGAACCATGCTGACATAACTCGACCTTGCCCAACACCTTGTTTAATGGGAAACACATCAGATCTTTCTCCGTTGTAGGATATAAAAGCACAGCTGTCTGTATAGCTATGGAAAGTAAGTTCCATAATTTACCTTTCACACCAAGGTCATGTAATTTAACAAAAAGACCGTCGTGCCAAATACGATCGAAAACTTTTTCATTTTCTAAAAATGCAGCAAACTCTTGTGATTCTCTTTCTAGGTTAAAATAAACACATTCTAAAACGGTGAATACAGACATGATTGTCCTTTCTGAAACCAAATTGTAAAGCATCGGGGAATGATTGGAGATTACTGGGTGTATATTTTTCTATTCTACTTACAATGATTTTCTCTAGGAGTTTAGATAGACACGATGTAAGAGTTATGCCCCTGTAGTTACGTGGATCATGTTTGTCGTTTTTGCCTTTATAAATAGGTATTATCATGCCTTTTCTGATGCAAGTATTTGATTGAATAGGTGTTTGAGGGTTACTACAAGCATCTCTCCTCCAAATATCAGGTGTTCATTTGTGATACCATCATGTCCTGGAGATTTGTTTCTTTTAAGGTTGTGTATATGTGATCTGATTTCTGGGACTTGGATTTGTGTGTACAGGATATCATCTAGTGGATCATGATTATGATAATTTACATATTGGTTTTGTATATATCCATCCTGTAAATACTTCAGTAATGACAGACCAAAACATCCATAAGAGTATAGAGTACTTAGATAAAAGTTTGTCTGCTGTGTTATATGAACATCCAGACTGCGATTTTTTTCTTCCTGGCGACGACAATGAATGGTGTGGTAATTTGATGGATGTTATTATCGACGACAACAACAGATTCATTACATCTGTAGAAGACGTATCGGACGCATTTGACGTGTCCCGCAGTACCAGAGATGATGTGTGTAAAGAATCCGGGAGGGATCTGGTCGATTTGCTGGGGATAAGGACGGATCATTTACTTGTTTTAAGGAGGGTGGCGCTAGTTTGGTTGATTATGATTGATGATTTATTCATTGGTCGTCTTTGAATGTTGATTTAGCTGTTGAAGCTTTGACCAATGCTGTACACAATGGTTCTATTGTGTGTGGATTACTTCCTAGAGCTAGAAAATCAAAACGTACATCTGGCGAAAATTGGTACGATAAAGACTGTGAGGATATGAAGGATAAAACGTTTAATATATTAGACAAGAGTTACTTGTGCTGAAGAGATTCATTCTTAATATTCTACATTAAGGAATAGTTACAGGTCTTTATGCAGGAAGAAAAGATAAGAATACTAAGAGACTTGTGTTCTTGAACTTGTAGACAATAGTGGAGATAGAAAACATTCTGGAAAAAGATAAGTGCATTGACAAAGAAGACAAGTTGTAGTCCTGTTTCCAGCAAGATTTGCCAAGAAGAATGGTTTGATTATTTTAAGAATATTTTAAACCATACTGATTAACTTGTGGACTCGGATATTATTGAGCAGGTAGATGATGTTATTAAAAACCATAATGAACAATTGTGTGATTTCTGTACTGATGATGATGTAAATAATATTCTTAATGGTGACATTACACAGGAGGAGATCGAATTATCCATAAGAGATCTGAAGCAGGGTAAAGCTGGAGGGTAAAGCTGCAGGGCCAGATGGTATTAAGGCTGCGATGGTCCAGTACTGTTTTAGATGTTGCAGTACAGTTTTAATTCCATATTTGTTAGTTATGTAAAATAACATTTTGTCAACGGATAATTTTCCACCCGAATGGGCTAAGAGTCTTATTGTACCACTCCATTGAAAAAGAAGCTTTGACTATGTTAATAAATATAGAGGCAAATCTTTGATGGATGTTTTTGGAAATTATTCTCCTCTATTCTAAATATGCGTCTTAAACGTTGTTCTGATCACTTTAACATTATACCTGAGGCCCAGGGGGGATTTAGGAAACATGATTGCACAACTGATAATATTTTCACTTTGCAATGTCTTGTAGAAACGTATTTATCTAAAAGTGGCGGACGTTTTACTGTATTTTTGTAGACTTTAAGAAAGCATTTGATTCTGTTGATAGGAAATTACTGTGGTTGTATTTAATAATGAATAAAGATGTTCATGGTAAATTATTCTCTGTACTGAGAAATCTGTATTCAAATATAAAAGAAGCTGTAAGCGTATCCAACACTGCCATTGCTGATTATTTTGATGGAGTCAGACAAGGTTGTGCTATCAACCCGTTTTTATCTGCAATGTTTATTTCATAATTTCAATTTATGATGGAAGATGCAGATGTAAGAGGTATATTTATAGATGAAGAATATTTGGAACTATTGCTATTATTGTATGCTGACTATTTATGTACTTTTTATTACAGTGTTATTGGTTTGCAAAGAAAGATTAATATTTATGAAACTGTTGTAAATCTTGGGGCGGACAGATAAATATGGATAAGACAAAATTATTAGTTTTTACGACATTATGAGAAGTGGTATTTTGATGGAGAGCTGCTAAAGACATCAACTTATTATAATTATTTAGGTATTATGTTTTCTACTAGGTTGTCATGAACAGTGTGTACACATACTCGTGTTACAAAAGCCAATGAAGCTTTGTTTGTTATTAAGCAATAACAGCATAAATACCCAAATATTCCTGTAAATATCTTATTTAAGTTGTTTGATCTTAAAATAAAACATTTTTTTGTTATATTGGACGTAGGTGTGGGGCTTCCAAGACAGAGCTGTTATTGATAGATTTCATGATAATTTTTGTAAATATGTATTGGGTGTTGGTAAACATGTATCGAGTACTGCAGCTTTAGCCGACTGCGGTAGACATGGACTTTATATAGATTACTACCAAATATATGTAAAGTACTGGTGTAAATTGTTAAGAATGTCAAATGATTATTATCCAAGACAATGTTACCTACTTATTAAGTTAGATTCATCAGGAAGGATTCAAAACGACTTGCACACTATAAGATTATTAAGTCATTGTTGACTGTTGAATATTATGTTCTATACATCAATGTTAGGCAAATACGAAGATTTGAACTGCCGTTGGGTTGTAATATCAGATGTAAAGAAGCTATAACTGTTAACCGAATTTGTAGGATGTGTAATAAAAATAGCATTAAAGATGAACTCCATTTTATATTTGATTGCGAGGCATATGTATTGCTGAGAAATTTATATATTTCATAAATTACTGACTTCTAATGATGTGTCAATTCTTAAAAAGTGTGCTTAGTTAGTTAGAGAAGCATTGAAATGTAAATATGTCATCTGCCGCCTAATTGACATATGTATAAATATATATATATGATATTTGCATCAGCTGTGTACATGGGCCGATTGCCTACAAACAGAAGTAAACTTACTATTGTATCATGGTCAGTTTAAGAATAACGTGCAATAATTTAGTGCCAGGTGTCTGCCTTCAGATATCTTTTTATCCTTCGTATCTTTATACACTTTCATCCTATCAGGCGATATATCTTTCGTAAAAAAAAGTTTTGAAAGCACATGCACAGCAACAGCTGCTGTTACCATATGTGATGTCAGAATACAATACCTATAAAATTGTGTTTGTTAATAGGCGCTTGGTTGGAAATATCTGACACCGCATTATCTCACAAGTCATAAACACATTATCTAAACAAGGAAGTAAATGTGAAACCAGGAGGTTTGAATTTGTCCACGACGGAAGGAGATGTAAACTAGCGATAACTAAAGTAGAACCCTGGTGACGTCCTGGTTGTACAGACGGGCGGACTGCCCGCACACAGTGACAGTCTCTCTGTAAGTTGTTCAACTTTAATACTGTTATATACTCCAACATACTGAAGAACGTAAACTTTGACAATAGGCATGCGCGTTTGTTCTCATGATGACATTTCGTATTTTCAAATCATTAGTATTTTAGCATCAGGTTTTAGCGTCAGTGTTTTGGAAGAAACTATTTGAATATCACTTCTGACGATTTTTGTAGGGTGGCTGTCTTTGTTGACATTTGAACCTGTTGCCCACACTTGTCTGAAATGATCTTGTGAAGAATGGGAAACGGACCATTGAGAAAAACTCGAGCTGTGACAGAGAGGAGACGTCAACAAGGGAGACAATCCACACCATCAACAACACTAGATGGCGCTGTGACTGGACCATCAACAGACGCTCCAGCAGTGACAGAGGGGAGCCAAAAGCAGGGGAGACAATTCACAGACGCTATAGCTGTGAAAGAGAGGAGTCAAAAGCAGGGGAGACAATCTACACCGAAATCAACACTAGATGGCCCTGTGGCTGGACCATCCACAGACACTGTAGCTGTGACAGAGGTGAGCCAACAGCAGGGGAGACAATCCACACCGACATCAACGCTAGATGGCGCTGTGGCCGGATCATTCACATACGCTCTAGCTGTGACGGAGGGGCGTGAAAAGCAGGGGAGACAATCCACAGACGCTCTAGCTGTGACAGAGGGGAGTCAAAAGCAGGGGAGAAAATCCATACCGATGTCAACGCTAGATGGCGCTGTGTCCGGACCATCTACAGACGCCCAAGCTGTGATAGAGGTGAGCCAACAGCAGGGGAGACAATCAACACCGACATCAACGCTAGATGGCGCTGTGGCCGGATCATTCACAGACGCTCTAGCTGTGACGGAGGGGCGTGAACAGCAGGGGAGACGATCCACTTCCACAACCACACACAACTACATAGGTGAGTCTTCCCCTGTCATCATGGTGACCATGTGTTTGGAGCAGCCTCTTGTCATGCTGAAGCCCATGGTTAGATTCAGTACAGGTTTACAATGAGTGAAGTCTGCCAATTTGGTATATCACGTCAATATCTGTAAAGTAGCATTATAGATTACGCAACTTATAAGATGTAAGCTAGGAATAAAAAATGATATTTTAACATCTATATTTTAAGTAGCCTGAAACATGCCTCAAGTTAAATATAACGGCATCATGGTTTCATATGTTACGAACTAACGACCATCTTCACGAAGGAATAGAACACACAAATATGCACACACACACTGAACATGCACATGGTCCAATATGTGTGTAAAAACACACCGGTAATTTAATGTTTAGCCCACCTTATTAGTGTCAACGTGAGGTTATGTCATGGGTGTTCCTCCATTGTCAATCAAACCTTTACTCTGTTGGATAGCACTGTGGTCTCACTGACTGTTTGTCTGTGTATTTTACAACAATTTATCATATGTAGTGTAGTCCAAAGACTTTCATCATAGGAAATAAATGAACATTTATATTTAATACACAATCGATTTAATCTGTCATATGACGACAACACAAATGAATATGATGGAAGTGGAATCACTTCGTTTCATTGCATCTGTTTGGATTGAATTAAAATGCTTTAATAATTGAAATGGTAAATCGCTTTCTTATCACAGTTAAGGTAGCGAGATGTACCTGTATGATGAATATAAACACTCGGCCTCCTTTCTGTGAGAGACAATATTCTGCTTTAACCTGACCAGTAACTCCAGGTGGTTACGTCTCCCAATATGACCTGTCCAACTCCTCTAACGTTGTTTTCCCGCTCTAGGTCGTTCAGTACCCCAGTATGACCTGTTCAACTCGTCAAACGTTGTTTTCCTGCTCCAGGTTGTTCAGTACCCCAGTATGACCTGTCCAACTCGTCTAACGTTGTTTTCCCGCTCTAGGTCGTTCAGTACCCCAGTATGACCTGTTCAACTCCTCTAACGTAGTTTCCCTGCTCCAGGTTGTTCAGTACCCCAGTATGACCTGTCCAACTCCTCTAACGTTGTTTTCCCGCTCGAGGTGGTTCAGTACCCCAGTATGACCTGTTCAACTCGTCTAACGTTGTTTTCCTGCTCCAGGTTGTTCAGTATCCCAGTATGACCTGTTCAACTCATCTAACGTTGTTTTCCCGCTCTAGGTCGTTCAGTACCCCAGTATGACCTGTTCAACTCATCTAACGTAGTTTCCCTGCTCCAGGTTGTTCAGTATCTAAGTATGACCTGTCATATCCTCCAACATAGTTTTCCTGCTCCAGATTGTTCAGTATCCCAGTATGACCCGCCCAACTCCTCTAACGTCCTTCCCTGCTCCAGGTTGTTCAGTATATAAGTATGACCTGTCAAACACCTCTAACGTAGTTTCCCTGTTCCAGGTTGTTCAGTATCCCAGTATGACCTGTCCAACACCTCTTACACTTCAGTGGGAAATCACGGTCATCGAGGCTGTGCATCACATGGTGAGTGCAGTCATTTTTATAAACATGACGCTCTGTGACCACTGAACCATCTTTTGTCTATGATAGAACAGATTAAATATAAGACAATGAAATGTTTTGGATAGAACGCAAACCATGTTTTAAATTCCTTTAGCAGAATGACAATATCCTTGCTTTTTTAAAAAAGTCTCCATTTTTGTATTTTTTCAAATTAAGCCCCAACCACTGCCCTTTGTTGTGCGAAAATCTGCACAAGATTGTTTGGCGGGTGCTGTTGGTGCGGCAAGACATCCTTACCTTTTTGCGAACGTCGAGTGTCTTCACTGATATTCAGTGATCCCTTTATATGATTTCTTTAGGATCTATGGCAGGATCAATAATATTTTTTTAGTTCCATATCGCAAACATAATGTTAAATGCTTTTTTAGCTTTAAAACCAATACTTTCCAGTATTCGCAATTATGTGTTGATGTGCTCTGATTTAGCCCCAACTTATATATCAATACTTATTTATGTGATGATGTGCTGTAATACATTTATGTCCATGTTTTCAGAGTCTCTTCGCATCAGGATCAAGCAGCTGAATGAAGTGTTTAAGGAAACTCACACTCTTCATAAAGCAGAAGAACTTCTGAAAAGGCACAAGCATATGGCAATTATTGGAGCTCCTGGAGAAGGGAAAACAAGCACTGCTCTCAAGATATGTGAGAAATATCTCCACAACAAATATGAAGTTGTGTTTGTCGATAATTTTGAGATATTTGATGTGGATACAATCATTCAACGAACATGTAACATGCTAGTTGTGTTCGATGATATATTTGGTTCTGTGACGGTTCCTTCTAATTGGGAGAAAATACACAAAGTCTCGACTGCCCTGGTTGACGCTTTATTTCAACAGGAACATGATGCCATGAAGCAGAAATCAAATAAGCAAGAAGAGACTCAAGCAGGTGAGATACAAAACAATGCCCTCAAGCTCCACTTTATTTTCTCATCCAGAAGCTACAACTGGAATGAAGGACGTGGAAGAATGCACCAGTTCAAGGTAAATCTCTTCAAGCCTGAAAGTGTCATTGATATGACCAAGACCGGCCTGACTACCAAGGAGAAGGAATCCATTATGAATTCGTTCGAGAAAAGAAGTAAAAAATGTGATATCTCAAACCAGAACAAGAACACCATTACTCAGTTACAAGACAGCAGGTTTGGCTTTCCTCTGATCTGTCAACTGTATTGTACCAACCCAGCCTTCCAGATGCACAACATAATTGACTTCTTTCAGAAACCTGTGACCTACCTGAGAGGTGACCTTGACGCCATTGTCCGTGAAGGCAGCAGCAGGTCGGCAACTCTCATTCTCCTTGTTCTGTGTGGAGGGAAGTTGGACCTTGTCTCCTTTAAGGCTAAAGAGAAGAATCTCACCAATCTGTTTCAGGCTGTGAAGGAGGAGATAGCGTCTTGCACTCAAACAGACATTGGCAAAGACATTCGCAACTTTACTGGCACTTATTGTAGGGTGGAGAATCATGTAGCCTCCTTCTCTCATCCATCAATCTATGATGCTGCAGCATGTGCCTTGGGGAATCTCAATGAAGTCTTTGTACTGGAACATTGTTCTCTGCAGTTTTTACTTGAAAAAGTAAGGCTCAACAAGAATGGTGACCTGCAAACAAGCTACACTGATAATGTCACAAACATGATCTACATCACCTCAAGTCTGCACCCGTTAGTGATCAGCAGATTGGTGGAGGGCGTCCGAGAAGGGTGCTTCAGATGGACAGTAGGCCACCCTGTATTCAGCTGTGTTCAAATAGTCTCCGACTTCTTGACACAGATGACGCCAGACTTGCCAGATGTTGTTCACAGGAAGGATAAGAGCTCAGGTGAATGTTTTCTGTATTGGGTTTCACTGTCAACTAACCATTCACTGTTTGAACGATCAGTGTCACTGATGTGTAGAGAGGGAAGCCTTTCACATTCTGTACTCGCTGACTTCTATGAGAGTATCATAGGCTGTACACAACATGGCAATCTCAGGCATCTTAAACATATTGCTGTTGTACTCAAACAACAAGGGGAATACGATGTAGACAGGAGGACAAATGGAGAGAGGACTCTGCTGATGATTGCTGCTGAGGCAGGACAGTTGGGTGTGTTCAACTTCCTCCTCCAAGAAGGCGCTGATGTTTCAGTGACAGACGAAGATCATTATAACTGTCTTCATCTTTCATGTAAATCAGGAAGCAAAGATATAGTAAATGTTATCATTGAGAAGTTTCAACATCTGGTCAATGGTCGTGACAGAAAGGGAAACACTCCTGCAATGTTGTGTGCCAAGTCAGGGCAGGTTGAACTCCTCAAGTGTTTTGTTTTACACAAAGCAGATCTTACTATCAGGAATGATAACAAAATAAACACTTTCGACATAGCATGTATAAACGGCCATGTATCAGTTGTAGAATATCTGCTGACATGTGAACACATGAGCATCCACAGAAGAGACAGATGGTGGAAACTAACCAAAGGTATGCAGGCAGCTGTGAGTGGACACTATGATGTTTATACTCTTCTTGTATCTGGAGATGATCTGTCACTTACTGAAAAATACAACAGTGACCTCCTGATGTCAGTATTTTACGGAGGTGATGCATCTATAGTGAAACACGTGCTGTCCTTGAAAACATTTGACATCAACAGACGAGAAAGTTTACGGAAACAAACAGCAGTTATGATGGCAGCTGAAAGAGGACACAATGATGTTTATAATCTTCTTGTGTTGGAGGGAGCTGATCTGTCACTCACTGATAAAAACAAAAACGACTGCCTGATGTTGGCATGTTATGGGGGTTACGTGTCTATAGTGAAGCACCTGCTATCCTTGAAAACATTTGACATCAACAGACGAGCGGGACGGTCTAAACAAACATCAGTTATGGTGGCAGCTGAAGGAGGACACACTGATGTTTATAATCTTCTTGTTTTGGAGGGAGCTGATTTGTCACTTACTGATGAAAACGACAGGGACTGCCTGATGTTTGCAAGTGAGACAGGTAACGTGTCTATAGTGAAACACCTGTTGTCCTTGAAATTACTTGACATCAACAGACGAGCGGGACAGTCTAAACAAACAGCAGTTATGATGGCAGCTAAAAGAGGACACTATGATGTTTATAATCTTCTTGTGTTGGAGGGCGCTGATCTGTCACTTACTGATGATGACGACAAGGACTGCCTGATGTTGGCATGTTTTGGAGGTAACGTGTCTATAGTGAAACACCTGCTGTCCTTGAAAACATTTGACATCAACAGACGAGACAGATTATGGAAACAAACAGCAGTTATGATGGCAGCTGAAAGAGGACACAATGATGTTTATAATCTTCTTGTGTTGGAGGGAGCTGATCTGTCACTTACAGATAGAGGTGACAAGAACTGTCTGATGTTGACATGTGAGGGAGGTAACGTGTCTATAGTGAAACACCTCCTATCCTTGAAAACATTTGACATCAACAGACCATCAGGATCAGGGAAACAAAGAGCAGTCATGATGGCAGTTGAAAGAGGACACAATGATGTTTATAATCTTCTTGTGTTGGAGGGAGCAGATCTGTCACTTACTGATGGAGACAACATGGACTGCCTGATGTTGGCATGTTTTGGAAATAAGGTGTCTGTAGTGAAACAACTGCTGTCCTTGAAAACATTTGACATCAACAGACGAAATGGATCACGGAAACAAACAGCAGTTATGATGGCAGCTAGCAGAGGACAATATGATGTTTACATTCTTTTTGTGTTGGAGGGAGCTGATCTGTCACTTACTGATGATGACGACAGGGACTGCCTGATGCTGGCATGTACTGGAGGTAACATGGCTATTGTGAAACACCTGCTGTCCTTGAAAACATTTGACATCAACAGACGAGGAGTATGGTGGAAACAAACAGCAGTTATGATGGCATCTAAAAGAGGACATTATGATGTTTATAATCTTCTTGTGTTGGAGGGCGCTGATCTGTCACTTGCCGATAAAAACAACATGGACTGCCTGATGTTGGCATGTCATGGGGGTTCCGTGTCTATAGTGAAACACCTGCTGTCCTTGAAATTACTTGACATCAACAGACGAGGGGGATGGCTTAAGGAAACAGCAGTTATGATTGCAGTTAAAGGAGGAAACTATGATGTTTATAATCTTCTTGTGTTGGAGGGAGCTGACCTGTCACTAACTGATGAATACAACAACGACTGTCTGATGTGGGCATGTGAGCGACGTCACGTGTATATAGTGAAACACCTCCTGTCCTTTAAAACATTGGACATCAACAGACGAGATAGATCAAGGAAACAAACAGCAGTTATGATAGCAGCTGAAAGAGGACACAATGATGTTTATAATCTTCTTGTGTTGGAGGGAGCTGTTATGTCACTCGCTGATAAAAACAACAACGACTGCCTGATGTTGGCATGTTATGGGGGTTACGTGTCTATAGTGAAGCACCTGCTATCCTTGAAAACATTTGACATCAACAGACGAAATAGATCACGGAAACAAACAGCAGTTATGATGGCAGCTGAAAGAGGACACAATGATGTTTATGATCTTCTTGTGTTGGAGGGCGCTGACCTGTCACTTACTGATAAAAACAACAACGATTGCCTGATGTTGGCATGTTATGGGGGTTACGTGTCTATAGTGAAACACCTGCTGTCCTTGAAAACATTTGTCATCAACAGACGAGAGAGATCACTGAAACGAACAACAGTTATGATAGCAGCTGAAAGAGGACACTATGATGTTTATAATCTTCTTGTGTTGGAGGGAGCTGTTATGTCACTCACTGATAAAAACAACAACGACTGCCTGATGTTGGCATGTTATGGGGGTTACGTGTCTATAGTGAAGCACCTGCTATCCTTGAAAACATTTGACATCAACAGACGAAATAGATCACGGAAACAAACAGCAGTTATGATAGCAGCTGAAAAAGGACACTATGATGTTTATGATCTTCTTGTGTTGGAGGGCGCTGACCTGTCACTTACTGATAAAAACAACAACGATTGCCTGATGTTGGCATGTAAGGGGCGTCACGTGTATATAGTGAAACACCTGCTGTCCTTGAAAACATTGGATATCAACAGGCGAGAAAGGTCATGCAAACAAACAGCAGTTATGATGGCAGTTGAAGGAGGACACTATGATGTTTATAATCTTCTTGTGTTGGAGGGCGCTGTTCTGTCACTTACTGATAAATACAACAATGACTGCCTGATGCTGGCATGTTTTGGAGGTAACATGGCAATTGTGAAACACCTGCTGTCCTTGGAAACATTTGACATCAACAGACAAGATAGATCAAAGATACAAACAGCAGTTATGATTGCAGCTGAAAGAGGACACTATGATGTCTGTAATCTTCTTGTGTTGGAGGGAGCTGATCTGTCACTAACTGATGAAGACAACAATGAATGTGGACATGTGAGGGAAGCAGCGTGTCCATAATGAATCACCTCCTTTGCTTGAAACATCTGGCCAAGGTGAATGAAAATTCAGCCATAAGAATAACGAGTCCATTACTGCAGTGAGTCAGTTTAACAAAGTCCCAGTCACGGGCATAAACACAACAGTTTCTGAGTTTGCCCACGTGCTACCGGAGTCTGCACGTGCAGCATTCGGTGTAAAATGTTTTCGACCCTGAAAGTACCCAAGACAGATAAAAAACAAGCCATGATTTATGCCAAAATGTGTGTTAAACATATTTATTTCCGTAAATTGTACACGTACTGGCTTTGTGGCTAATGCGTTTGCTAGTCACCCCGAAGACCCGGGGTTCGATTCTCCACATGGTTACAATGTATGAAGCCCATTTTCCAATGTCCCCAACCGTGATTTTGCTGGAATAGTTCCAATAGTGGCGTGAAGCCCATTTCTGGTGTCCCCCGCCGTGATATTGCTGGAATATTGCTAAAAGCGGCTTAAAACCCCACTCACTCACTTACTCACTCCAATAGTGGTGTAAAGCTATATCCATTAACTCACTCACGCATTGGTGAATGAAAAATCAACCAATTCACTTTATCAATAGCTGTTATTTGTCCTCAAGTTGCCTTTATTGCACAACTCAATCAATGTCTGTAGTTTGCGATTTTAGTTCTAAAAAAAGAGAGCGTGCCAGCAGAAGTCTGTAAGCTGTTGTCTCTCTCCATAACCTGGAGAATTTGCCTCGGTGTGACAAATGATATAGGTTTGTATGGGTTCGGATTCGCTTTTTAGGAATACGAGTTATCCAGTCGATTAGGTACGAGTGGGTACGGGTTGTCCAACGGGTGGGTACGAGTCATCCAGTTGATTGGGAACGAGTGGGTACGTGTTGTCTAACACCTTGGTACGAGTCATCCAGTTGATTTGGAACGAGTGGGTACGGGTTGTCCAACATTTGGGTACGAGTAATCCAGTCGAGTAGGAACGAGTGGGTATGGGTATCCAACACTTGGGTACTAGTCATCCAGTTGATTAGGAACAAGTGGGTACGGGTATCCAACATTTGTGTCCGAGTCATCCAGTTGATTAGGAACGAGTGGGTACGGGTTGTCCAACATTTGGGTACGAGTAATCCAGTCGATTAGGAACGAGTGGGTATGGGTATCCAACACTTGGGTACTAGTCATCCATTTGATTAGGAACCAGTGGGTACGCGTATCCAACATTTGGGTACGAGTCATCCAGTTGATTAGGAACGAGTGGGTACGGGTATCCAACATTTGGGTCCGAGTCATCCAGTTGATTAGGTACGAGTGGGTACGGGTATCCAACACTTGTGTACGAGTCATCCAGTTGATTAGGAACAAGTGGGTACGGGTTGTCCAACACTTGGGTACGAGTCATCCAGTTGATTAGGTACGAGTGGGTACGGGTATCCAACACTTGTGTACGAGTCATCCAGTTCATTAGGAACAAGTGGGTACGGGTATCCAACACTTGGGTACGAGTCATCCAGTTGATTAGGAACGAGTGGGTACGGGTATCCAACACTTGGGTACGAGTCATCCAGTTAATTAGGAACAAGTGGGTACGGGTTGTCCAACACTTGGGTACGAGTCATCCAGTTGATTAGGAACAAGTGGGTACGGGTTGTCAAACACTTGGGTACGAGTAATCCAGTTGATTAGGAACGAGTGGGTACGGGTTGTCCAACATTTGGGTCCGAGTCATCCAGTTGATTAGGAACGAGTGGGTACGGGTATCCAACACTTGGGTACGAGTCATCAAGTTAATTAGGAACAAGTGGGTACGGGTATCCAACACTTGTGTACGAGTCATCCAGTTGATTAGGAACAAGTGGGTACGGGTTGTCCAACACTTGGGTACGAGTCATCCAGTTGATTAGGAACGAGTGGGTACGGGTATCCAACACTTGGGTACGAGTCATCCAGTTAATTAGGAACAAGTGGGTACGGGTATCCAACACTTGGGTACGAGTCATCCAGTTGATTAGGCACGAGTGGGTACTGATGCTATGTTGGTGTAAAATATTGTAAATTTAATTAATGTGGTTTTAATTAATTAATTGATGTATATCATGTTACCATGTGATTATATCTGTTCAATCTTTGGATGTATTTTAATGATGACAGCGATGTTTGTCAGGGACTATTTCTTGTCTACACTCTTGCATCATGGCTATTTTTAGAAAGTAAGTTGACATTTTGCCTTGATAAACAAATACCTAATACACTAGTTATTGAAGATTTCCCGATTCCTCTAGCGTGTTGTAGAGTATATTTCACTTTGGATATTAATGGTAATTAAACTTGATTGCACTGAATGACTTATTCCATCCGCTGTTTGTCATTTCTAAGGTTTCGGTGACCTGTCACTTATGTTTATGTTTGGCATAATGACTGTTAATAACTTGGATGTCCGTTTTCACATCAAAGTCATAGATTCATGATAAAGTATTTTCCTGTTGTCTACACTATACATGCATTATTCAGACACATAGGCACACAATATATACGTTCCTGTATCTCTTGAATTTGTACCTGTAATATGATATTCGTTCCCTGGTTTGACATACGTTGCCAACAATTCAAGGCAATATTGACAATATGTTTGTCCGTTTTTTCATTTATCATTTGATAAGTATTTTAGTCCATCTTGTTACTGTCCGAATTATTAAAGGACATATAGGAGAACATCAATACCTGGAATGAGGGTTTATTTGCCGCTTGGTCTGAACCGTGCTTGTCCTTAATTTTGTAATATCAGATATCAGCACAAAGCAGTTTTTGTTTATCATGTTTTATCTATTCGGTTAGTTGTTTGGTTGTTTAACATCGCACTCAGCAATATTCCAGTTATATGACGGCGGTCTGTAAATAATCGGGTCTGGAACAGACAATCCAGTGATTGATATCATGAGCATCGATCCACGCAATTGCCGTTCTATTCGGACACTTTGTACATCACGAGGACAATACCAATTGATAAAAGCAACTGATCATTTTGTAAATACCACTTGTTATAGAGTTAACCATCGCCCAAGATGGCAGCTACTGACGCTATGTTGGTGGAAATTATTGTGAATTCAATTATAAGAAATAAAACATTAAAGTAAATAATAAGATTTCAGTATCATAGATAGTTACCTTGTTACATTTTCATTCTTGATAGCAATGTTTATCCATCACTGAATCTTCGCAGCACTTGTCAGACATGACCTAATTACCACTGTGCATCACTACGCTATTTACATCCATGAATAATCTACCTACTGATGATATATGCATTATTATCATACAGGTTGATGTATGTTTTACCTCTAATAAATTATCTTGATGTCCTGACTAGTTCTACAGTGCCCTAATTGTTTTCGGACAAACAGGACATTCAGGACATTACATTCAAGGCCTCAGTAAAGCCTTCAAAAAGTTGTATGGTAGACATGTGGAGACATTTCCAAATTTGACGCATCAGTGACAAAATTATTTTTGATGTAATTTCCTACTTTGACGTGTACAATTTTGTCATACAGGTACTTTATAGGTATATATCTTTACAATGTGCATACGTATTTCCATAACTTATTCACATAAAGAAATATAAAGTTAGAAGTTAAAAGTAAAGTGAATCTCAAGTGTGTGTGTGTGTGTGTGTGGGGGGGGGGGGGGGGGGGGGGGGGCACAGTTGGGCCAGTCGTCTAAGGCGGGGGGGGGGGGGGGGGGGGGGGGGGCACAGTTGGCCCAGTCGTCTAAGGCGCCGCGATTCCATTCCTTGGGCACGCCAGAAACCTGTCATTGTGGGTTTGAATCCCGGTTCGCCCCGATTATGTTTCTTGGTTTGTCAGCACCATTCCCGTGCTTGTGGGTTTCACCAAAGTGGTAAACGTCTGAGACCTGCATCACTTCGGGCTTTCCTCCCACATTAAGCTGACATGCCGTGATATGACTGTAATACTGTTAAAAGCGGCGTTAAACCCCACTCACTCACTCACTCACTCACTCACTCACTGAACCTCAAGGTCAAACACAGTTGGCGCACTGACGTCACACAATACAAGGTGTAATGTTCAATAATATCACAGCTTGATATACATACTTTTAATGTTATATAGATTTACATTGTGTAACATGACATGTAATATACTTATTAGGCGGAGGTTACATACCTATGCAGCAAATGTTAGTTGGCTACAGATGTACAACAATATAAACAAATGGCGAAACCAGTAGGCTATATTTGCCATGCTTAATGGGGTCACCATTAGCTAAGTGTGAAGTTAATTCCTTACGGCACATTAGTAGAAATTGTTCATGTTCAATACAGACATATGAACCAGGCAATTCATTTGCCAAATTTTACCATTTTCTGTCAAACTGTCTGATTGTATTATTTGGGTTTGCAATTATTTTCTCTATCTGAAATATATCGACTAAATCTATAGAAAGTTTTCAAGTGACAATTTGTTTTTCTTAATGCTTGATACATATATATATTTTTTTGCATGCCAGTATGTGATTTAACAGAATGTTAGAGTGTTTACCCAAGTAAAACAGAGCATTTTGTAAATGTGAATTGTTTTGAACAGTTTGCATTCAGAAAATAATTCTGGTTTGGCCCAAAACTCTTTAACATGCTTATAATCCCAGTATACATGAAGTAAGGATTCAGTATCAATTTCACTAAATGAGCATAGATCATCATCGAGAATTTTCATTTTAAACAATTCTTTCTTTGTATAGATGATGCGATGAATACATCTTCATTACAGAGATCTTTAATAGTGTAAATTCCTTTTAAAAACAATTTCTTATAATGAAAACTTTTTTTAAAACTAAAGGTTACACCAAAGAGGTTCTGACAGTAACTCTCCAATGTTTGTGGAGTTATTTTTGTGTCTTTACAAAGTTCCCAAGGCAGCAAAAACATCTCTCCAGTAAGGGTTAGCTAAGTGTATACAGTTTTCGATATTGTTCCTAAGTAGGAATATGCCTTTAAGTGGAAAGATGCTAGGGTTATACCAGTGTTTGTTTTGAAGATATTTGTTTTAGAGCAGACAGTTTTAGAGAAATTATAAAAAACCTTACCTCTATCATTCACAGTCCACCTTGGTCATATTTTCTAATTAATGTTGTTCATTTTATTTTGTCCTTTTCATCGTTCCAGATGAATCCGTACAATATTTTCTTCATCAATAAATTCACTTGGATGGTTTGGATGAGAGGGAAATATATGTACTTAGATTTACAGGGCCAAGGTTTTAACAACAGTAACTTTACCTATCAATGTTACATTTCTTTTCCTCAAATTCCCTCAAATTTTAATTCGTTATAACCGTATTTCGTTATAAGCATATGTACAGCGTACACACAACAAATGGACGGGAGCAAGAAATATTTCGTTATATCCGCCAGTTCGTTGTAAGCATGTTCATTATAAATTTAGTTTACTTCATTGCAAAGTCCCCACTGTTCCAGTCTAGTTTCAGATCCTGCCATAATTTGATGTCTCAGCCTGTCATTGACCCTATCCATAATGCTTTTGTTTTATCAATATTGATTTTTTAATCCAGACATTTTATAAAAAAATCATTTTGGGCGTCAATCGCTGTACTTAAACTTTCATCAGTCCCATCCAGAAATATTTCTATATCATCAGCATATTGTGCGAGTTGATGATCCACATTATTCAGTTTGATACTGTTTATTGCAATCGAATCACGAATCATTATTCCCAAAGTTTCTGCAACGAGAAGGAATAGATATGGAGACAATGGGTCTCCTTGTCTACATGCCCTTTCGTTATAGAAGAATGAAGATAGGTGTCCATTTTGTATGATGCAATATGAAGCATTATCTATAAGTATGTATATCCATTTTCATAAGTAAGGTCCAAAGCCAAACTTTTCCAGTGTCAACATGGTAAATTGTTTTGAAACGGTATCAATAGATTTTTCAAAGTCTGTAAGTAATAGTAGACCAGGCTTATTTTGTAATTCTGTTTCAAACAAGATATCATATGGTAGTCGTATGTTTTCGCTAATAAATTTCCCAGGGATATAGAAGCCAGTTTGTTTTTCATGTATACGAGTATTAAATGTCCAAATGAAGTCAAGTCTAGCTTGCTGTTTTGGCCTTTTCTTCCACCATGTGTATTTCTTTGCATCTTGATTTTTTTCTCGGCAAATATCAATTAGATCAACGCTTTCTGTTTTTTCAAGTACTAACTTTCTTGGTTTGCGATTGTTGATTTGCTTATAATTTTCCAAATAGACAGCGGATTGAGAACCAAGTTCCAATTTCCTCATATAACCAGTGATTCGTTTTCAAATTCGTCAATATTATTTCTAAAGTATTGTAAAAAGCAGGTTCATCTTGATATGGCCAATGAATATTAGTTAGAGTTCACCTTATGCCCGCTATTGTGATATCTGCTATCATTTCGTTTAAATCTATGGATTTTTATTTCTAAAGTAGAACTTAACAAAATGGCAACTGCTCTTGCGTTTGTCTTGTAAGGCGCTATTATACTTTGAAGTTATTCTCATTATTTGTCCCCATTCATTTTTAATTATTGTTTCATCTTCTTTAAAAATATGAATGTCTTGTAGACATATTATACATATAATACATAATATGTTTCTGATGGCATCATAAATCACACGTAGTTCTCAGATATTAGTTACATGGACCTGTGGACCTGTCGGCATTATGTCTCACTGTTCCTTGCGGGGCGACCCGTGAAGATCCGGGGTAGAATAGGTCTTCTGCAACCCATGCTTGCCATAAAAGGCGACTATGCTTGTCGTAAAATGCGAACAACGGGATCGGGTGCTCAGGCTCGCTGACTTGGTTGATACATGTCATCGTATCCCAATTGCGTGGATCGATGTTGATGATGTAAATCACTGGATTGTCTGGTCCAGACTCGATAATTTACAGACCGCCGTCATATAGCTGGGATATTGCTGAGTGCGGCGTTAAACAACAAACCAAC